TCACTTTAACACTCATCAGACAACCCAAGACTCGCAGAGATGACTTTATTGCCAACCTATGACAAATCACCACGAACCCCACCAAGATTGTGATGGTGTTCAGCTTCATCTGGACCGACGATGCCCCTAGAGCCGTGAAAACTTGTTGAAGAAAAGGGTGCAAGGGAAACCGCAAGCCAAACTCCAAGTGTCTCAAGTAAAGTGGAGCCCGATCCGGTCCATAATCATAGTATGCCTCCGACCTCGTCGGGTCCATCAGCTTATACTCTCAGGGGATATCAAACCTTCCATTGAGCGTCCTCATTTGTGCCTAGGTCACCTTAGAGTAAAACTCCGCGAGAAGAGCTTGTCGATCTATGGGATCCGATGGCATCATAGAAAGGAGAAGTAATCGCCGGAAAAAGATGGGCGGGAAGGATCTCGAGTTCTCAGAAGGGAATAACCACCATTTCGCTGGCCCTGGCTTTATATATAGGCAACTGAATCCACAGCTGTTAGAATCTGAATGGCCGGATCAAGCTTTGGCCAACAACCAAAATTAATTCTCAAAATCCGAAGCGACATCTCAAGGACCAAAGCGCAACCTACTAACCTCGAATAACCTGTAATTCGACACGAAAAGCAGACATGTGGCAGTCAAAAGAAATGTGGTGACGTTAGCCATGTAAAATCTAAAAATACTTTTCAATTCCCTCATTTAAGGCACATCCATGTCCGTCCAGAGCTACTTTCATTTCACTTGGACCCTACCCAAGCCGACTCTAAGCGAAAGGGGCCAACTGTTGTGGTGTTTTCAGTCACCAAAGTATAGTCCTTTGCCAGCAATGGACATGTGTCCCCTTACATGCACCGCTCAAATTGAATTGACGGTCAGGACCACTAAGAATCCTAACTTAGCTGACTCATCGAGTCGGCATCTCCTTAGGTCAACTCGAAGGGCGGTACTTGTCGGTCCTCTTGTCGAAGATGACTCACTACGAGCCCACTCGACTAGTTATTCGACACCTTGCAGGGTCGATTTGAAAGACATTACTTCTCGACCACCCCTCACCACAAGCCAAAGGATGAATTCAACCTCGAACCTCCCCCGCTGACAAGCGCGTCAGCGTCACATTAAATGCTTGGCATGCGCCATCATTTCTCCATCCCCTACATTATTTATGACACAACAGACCACGCTGGCTTCGTGCACCGCTCATCACATATCATTAATGGCGAAATGACAGCGTCCATCAGGCAGTCGATCCATAACCGATACCTGTAAAGTAGATGTTGATTCAGTCGTCAGCTTAGGCTCGACCAAAAAGACTAGACTACCCCTCTTTCTTGGCTATAAAAAGAAAAACTATTTCAAATACAAGGGTAAGCAATTTCTTAGCATCTCTCTCTATTCCGCTACATTTTTCTCATATTCTCACTCAAGCCCCTAGCTGACTTGATCGTCGGAGGAACAACGGGGGAACCAATCACCGTCCTCTTACAAGTTGTCACCAGATATTCGGAAAAGCGAGTGACCCCCATATCAACCAAATCCTTACCCACCACCTCTTTTAACTGTGTAATTTAAACCATCAACACAAATAAACCTCTGAAAATTTCAGAAGTCCGATATAACCTCTGAGCTTTTACAAAACACCTAAGAGCGCTTCAAAAATTGCAAAAAAACATATAAAATTTGGGGATTTGTTTTGCTTTAACTTACACTACGGGCTTTAGTGAGATCCCAATGGGGTGTCAGTAGCCCTGTCCAAAAAGCCCTGAGGCCCGGGTCCGGCCCGGAACCCGGCCCGGCCCGGGGTCGGCCGAACACATCTGTCGGGCCAACGAAACCGGGCCGAGCGCCCGGGCCCGGAGGCTAGCCCGCCCGCAAGCGGTACTTCCTGTGACCGTTGGCAAAAAACCAGGCCGGGCTGGGAAAACTTCACCAAAAGGTGGAACGTTTTGGTCGGGCCAGGCCGGGCCGGCCCGGTCAAAACGGCTATTTTGGCGTTTTGACCATTTAGCCCCTTACAATGGTCAAAAACACGGCCCAGCCCGACCAAAACGGCTATTTTGGCATTTTGACTGTTTTGCCCCTTACAACGTTCAAAAAACGGCTATTTGGTGAGGGTTTTTTGGTTATTTGCCTAGGAGGCTCTCTCTATAAACAGAGGGGGGTTTTCACTTATTCTCCTCACACTAAAACTCATCTACTTCTCTCTAATACTATACAATCTTATACTCTATTATAAGCTCTTATACTTTCTAATCCTTTCATCAAATGGCTTCTGGATCTAATTATGAAGAGCAAAACCTATCTCCTATCGATATTAAAATGAGTCCTCCTACAACAACAGCTACTCCTCCTACCGATCCTACTAGTGGTAATCCCGAATCCAGTGGCGACGAATCTGCACCAAGATCTCTTAAAAGGGCGAGATCCGATGTGTGGAATTTTTTGTGAAGATAGACGTCACCAAGGATGAACACGGTAGAATCCTCACCCAAAAGGCTAAATGTGCGTTGTGCGGCCAGATTTTCCAAGCTCATCATAAGAGCGGTACCAACCACCTCAAACGCCATATAGAAAAACACAACAAAGGCCAGACTTCTCAAGGTAATATCCGATAATCTATGATTTCACAATCCTCCTCTTCTGGTAGTCTCGGTACTTGGAATTATGATGCTGCCCGAGCTAGAAAATGCGTCATCAGGTTTATCATTCCTAAAAATCTTCCTTTAAAATTAGTAGAAGATGATGAATATGAAGGTTTGTTTAGAGATGGTTTTTATCCCGATTTTAAAAAAATTTCTCATCAAACCTGTCAACGTGATATTTTAAAACATTATCAAACGGAACAAGGAAAAATAATTTCTTATTTTAAAAATTTAAACTGTAAATTTTCTATAACTTCTGATATTTGGACATCTAGAGCACAAACAAATTATTTATGTATCACAGCACACTGGATTGATGAAAATTAGTAAATGTTAAAAGAGTTATTTCTTTTATTGTAATTGAAGAGTCACATACTGGTATTAATATAGCCAATTTAATAGTTAAAGAACTTATAAAACTAGAAATTGATCAAAGAATATTTTCTCTTTCACTAGATAATGCAAGTAATAACAATGTAGCTGTAGATTTTCTCAAAATAACTCTGTTATTGCCCTGCATGGTGAACTTTTTCATATTAGATATATATGCCATATTTTAAATTTAATTATTCAAAGTGCATTTACTGAAATTAAACTCATGATAGAAAAGGTTAGAACAGTTGCTTATATGCATACTGCTTCTGAACAAAGACTTAAAAGATGGAAACAAATGTGTAAAAGAAGAAATATTAAGGCTAGACTAATTCCAAAAGATGTTGACCATAAGTGGAATTCCACCTATGTAATGTTAAGTGTGTCAATAGAATATAAAGAAATTATAAATAATTTTATAAATTATTATGCTTCTAGTTCTAGCTATGGTAGCACTTATGGAATAATTGAAGATGAATGGATAATTATATGTAATTTAAATAAGATGTTACAAATTTTTTATGATGCTACTATGTTATTATCTGGTTGTTATTATCCAACTATTACTTTAGCTGCTCTACAAATTTTAAATATTCAAAAAGTTTTACCAAATATCGTATGGATGATACTTTTGGAGCTATAATTTTTCAAATGGAGAGCAAATTTAATAAGTATTTTAGGCCTATTCCTCATATTTTTGGTTTGGGGGTTCTTATTGATCTATGTTTGAAGGATATTGGCCTTCGAAGTTTGTTACAATCATTGTATGGTGGGCAGATTATAGAATTAGATGATGGATCCATCCTTATTGCTACTTCTCATCACTTAGCTATTAGAAATTATTTTCAAACATTATATGATGAGTATGCAGGTAGACATGGTGTAGCTGCACAACAGTCTGTAGTTTCGACGCCTTCGAGCTCAAGCCGAGGTAAAAGTGTAAGTTTTGATAGGCATGCAATGGTAGCTGAGCTAACTGGTGGGTCTGGACTTGGATCATCGTTGGAGGTTTCTGAAATAGATGAATATTTATCAGCATCTTTAGTTAAATGTCAAGGAAATGCTTTAGATATTTTGCAATGGTGGAGAGTATATGGATCAGTTTCATATCCTATACTTTCCACAATGATTCGTGACTTACTAACAATGCAGGTTTCGACGGTAGCTTCGGAATCCTCCTTCAGCACAGCAGGACGTTTGATAGACGATCATAGGACAAGCTTAGATCCGTATACTGTACAAATGGTAATGTGCTTACAAGATTGGTGGAGGTACGAGAAGCGAATGCAATGCATCGATCGGATGGCTTGAATTGAAGATAAATTTGAGGAGTTGGGACTAGCATATAGATATAAAGATGAAACAATATTCATCAAATTGTAATTTTTATTTCTTAGCTTTAAATGTGTAATGAATTATTTTGGAAATAGTTGCAAATGATAGTGATATAGGTGAGTATGTACCAACCTAGTTGGGATGTACTCATCTATTGTGATGCGACGAATTCCGAAATAAATTTATATTTGTAAAAGATTTACTGATTATTAATAAAGAAGTTATTTTTATCATCTTTCATTTTTATAATTTTTTGTATTTGTAATTTAGGTCATTTCAAGTTATTAATAATAAGATTATTTTTATTTTTTTCTGTAATTTTTTATATATATTTTAAATTTTAAAGAGATTTTTAAAAAAATTTTAAATGAGTGAAATTCCTTCAAATTTTTGATCGGAAGCGAATGATGGTATTGAATCGAACTGAACCGTCAAAAAACGCAGCAATTCAATCAGTGGGATCGATTCAAACCATAATCGGTTAACCCAGTCCCATGGCCCCCACCAGCTCAGCCTGCGCCTCCTACCTTGACCCTTTCCTTTCCTGTCCTTTGACTTTTCACACGAAAACTGACAGTTTCAACAATTACCCACAAAATTAATAAATAAATAATATTCCTCCCCTTTCTATTTTGACTCTTTTCTCTTCACCCAAAAACTCAGTCCCTCCCTAAAACCCTGTTTCTTTTAATAAAAGGGGGAAGTTCTGCAAAAAAAGGAATTTTTTAAATTTCGTCCTCTGAATATCCCCGATCATTTTCAGTACTTGGTTGATTCTGTCCTCTGTATATATGTATTAAAATTAAATTTGTGTCATGGGTTTTTGATCATGGTCAGAGCTTGTTCCTTCAATTGCAATTGTTTGTGGGTATTTTTCTTTGCAGAGCCGTTGGTTGCGAGGCGCTTTTTTTTAATACTTTCTGTTTGGTTCTCAGGTTTCCATTGGGAATTCAAGGAACATGAAGCTATCTAACTTCGTGAGTGTTTTCTTCTTCTTTTTCTGCAGGCCCTTTTTTTAATAATGTATTAATATCTTCATCCGTGCGAACTTGAATTTTTGTTTGAGATGGTTTGTTTGTGGATTACGGGAAAACGACTATACCAATTTGAACGTAGCAATCACTTATTATTCATCCCATTTACAAGAGTGCTATTTGAATTCGTGCAGGATGAAAATAACTGATTACTTTTTAATTCTTGTAGAGAATTGTGCATGTGATAATTTTTGTTCTTCATGGCCTTTGTCATATTCAAACGCGCTTTTATTTTAAATTTTCCGAAAGATCCTTAATAATTTTAGTATATAGGTAATTACTTTCATTCTTAAGGCTGGAATCACTTGCTAAGATGGAAAGTTGGACTTTGCACTGCTTTTTTTTTTTAAAATCGATTAAAGCAGCTTTGACTCTGAGAATGCTATTATTGGTTTAGAAGAGCTTGCACAACAAAGTTCAGATAAAGTGAGACATACCCGTGACATGTTCATATAAAAGTGCATAATATGTATTGAGTAAGCAATACTCGAGACCTGTTTATACTACTAAAATGCATAATTTGACAGATGATTTCTTTCTTTCTCTCTTTTTTTTGGGGTCTTCCATAAATGTGGGATTGGGATTGTTGATAGTATCTTTAACAAATTGCCGATCTATTTTTAGAAATCATCAAGGTTCAGGTCAAAGTACACGAGTTTCCTATTTGATTACATTTTCTCTATTTGGGGTTGTTTCTCACCTAGTTGGATACCTCTTGACAGGGCATTGTGTTTGCTGACTCCCCGAGTAGGAGATCGTGCTTTTGCAACTTGTTACCTGCAGCTGCTTTCCTTTCTTTACTCTTCTTCATTGGAAGTGCTTTTGTAACCTTTGATTACAAGGAGGTATGTCATCATTATTTATTTTGATTCAGTAACATTGGAATGGAACATACAGGGTTAACGATATTTTTAATTTTCTATTATTAGTTCACAGAAAATTGAGCATTTTCTTATACTTGTAATTTGTGCATGATTTTGTTGCAATCTTCGATATTTTTTTCCTTACCAATGTTAACATCAAACGTGGAGTCATCCTTAAATATTTTTTTCCTTACTAATCTTAACATCAAACATGGACTCATCCTCACTTTTCGTTCTTTAATATTCTTTTAAAATATTTTCACTTTACGAACAGTTTAGTAAAATGTCAGCTATGTTTGGCAACCACTCAAAATGGGGCCACTATTGATTCTGACCCCAGTTCAGGAAAAGCTGTGTTAAGCATAGTTTTACCAAAAACCTTAATTGCTTCCGTAAGCAATATATGATGTATGATTACTAAATGGCTATTTTCAGCAATACCAAACTGGCCCTTGATCTCTAGTAGTTTTGAGAGTTCAGTGATCATGGTGGCCCTGATATTCTGAACTTTTTAAATTTTATTGTGATCATTTTGTCATTAGTCGAAGAGTTACTTTCAGCATATAAGTAGTTTCCTGTAGATTTTGACGAAAAGAATGGGGTGTCTTTCAGCCTTTTGACAGGAAGCTTGTATATAATATTTGTATAACCCTTAAACATGATTTCATTTGGGGGAAAACGTAGGCTAAAGGCTCCTCTACGTGATATGTTTGAATTCTTACAGTCTGCAGAAATAGTAAGTTTTCGTTAAGACATCATGTGTTGTTTTCTTTTTCTTTTTCTTTTTTATTATCCCAACCACCAGGCTTCTCTGTGATGTTTTTTTTATTGATTTGTAATTTTCTAAAGTGAGCAATCTGCTATTCTATCTTTTTTTATTGAAGCCAAGAACAATGTGTCTTTGGTTTCTGTACTCATTTCTTCTCTATTTATGAATGATTGATGGACACATTTTCCTTCTATTCTTATCAATATATCTTTTACAATTACACACAAACAGCTCATGATTTTTTTCTTGTGCAGAAAGCATCAACACGGGAACCAATCAAATACACGCCAGAAACTACAAAGCAAAATTTGTGCAAGGTTTCTCTTTTGGATACGGCTTTCTCTTGTGGTCTGAATTTTGGAAGTTTATTTCCCTCAGTAAAGTTTTGGAAGTTTAGTTCACCTGATATTTATAGTGAAATATCTAATATATGAATCTCTGTGCTTGTATTTTATAGAATCAAGGGAGTCCTTCAGGGACTGAACTGTTGCCTAAAGGAATAGTTAGCAGAACATCAGACTTGGAAATGCAATCCCTATGGGGCTCTCCACGCTGGCCAAAAAGAAAGGTGCATACAAAATCTCCTTGTACAAGAAGTATAAACATATTATAATTGTCTTTCTCATTTTGTTTTTTGACATTAAGTACACATATAATTCCTTGGATCGAGCTCAAGTTCTTAATGCATATTAAAATTTTGAAAATCTAATGAACCTAGTGGGACCCAGAAGAATCAGGATTGATCGCAAGATGAAGTAAATTGCAGGAAAATTTAAAGATAATTTAAACTGAATTGCAATTTATAATAAGTTTATTTCACATTTATAATTTAATGTCGATATTAACTGTTGGATTTTGAAATCAGGGTCATAAGAGTCCATCAAAGAGCTTATTGGCGATTGCAGTTGGAATAAAGCAAAAGGAAGTGGTTAATCAAATAGTGAAGAAGGTGCATGCAAACTTATGGATCCATATATATTTTCCCTATCAATTTTGGAGCCAGTTTCATTGGACATTTTAGCTGTATTTAACATAATTCATTTAATATTGCAGTTCTCATCCAGTGAATTTGTTGTGATGCTATTCCACTATGATGGTATCGTGGATAAATGGAGAGACTTGTTATGGAGTGACAGAGCCTTGCATATCTCTGCAAATAATCAAACAAAATGGTATTCCAAACTATGTGATCAACTGTTGCAAGTCAAAGCAAACTAATTATCGAATATTTCTATGTCTGTGTGGTGTAGGTGGTTTGCCAAGCGTTTCCTACACCCAGACATTGTAGCAGAGTATGACTATATTTTCCTTTGGGATGAGGATCTTGATGTGGAACATTTTAATCCAGGCCGGTATGCAAGTTACTTGAATATGTCTTATTTTATTTGGATAATAAGACCTTAAATTTTTGTCTCATATTATAAACTGAATATGATCTCAACCCTTTGAATTTGTAATTCATTTAGTATTATTCCAACCAACAAATAAAGTTTCTCATGTTCGTTCCTTTTGCTACTTGGATTCTTTTTTCCCCATAGTGGAAATAAGACCTATGTTCAAATTTGATTATTAAAAGGAACATATCTTTTTGCTGCAGCTATCTATCAATTATTAGAAAAGAAGAACTTGAGATATCCCAACCTGGACTGGACACTTCCAAATCATTGGTTCATCACCGGATTACTGCACGATCAAGAAAAGGAGATGTTCATAGGTTTAGTATTTATTCTATATTTCATCTTTTAAAAATGTGTTTTAAAACATAACTGCTATTTTCATATTCTTTATTTTGTCAACAGAAGAGTTTACAAGTATAGTGGTGGAGGAAGGTGTTATGAGAACAGTACTGGCCCTCCGTGCACAGGGTAACTTATTTTTTAAACTCACAAAAAAAAAGAAGTAACCATGAGAGTTTTGAGACTAATTTCTTTTTTACAAAGGAAAACCTTAATGCTTCACATTCTAGTATCTAATAACATAAGAGTCCACCAAATTATTAGTTTTTTTCTTGTGTAATGTTTGTGCATGCTATTTATTCATATCTCAACTATTTTCTCTCCCTCGGTTCCTCATAGTCATTAGCATATGTATGCTAATCTTTTATTTTGATTATAAAAAAAGAAAAACTCTCTTTTACTGACATAGTATCTTATTACAGATGGGTGGAAATGATGGCTCCTGTGTTTTCAAGAGCTGCCTGGCGTTGTGCATGGCATATGATCCAGGTCTGTCCATTATTTTTCATGCTACTAATGTTTTCTTCCTAATTTTAGTATATATTTGACTTAGACTAGTCAGTTTATTATCAAAGCTACTGTACTGTACATAAAAGCTCATTCTTGTGAAAGATAAAAACACTAATGAACACAACAATAAAAAAAGCCCACCTTCTAACATTAATACACGCCACACATAAAAAAAAAGAATCTTGTTTTCATATGTTTTTAATGTTGGTGCTTCATGACATACAATGAGGTCTCCAGGCGACATGATCATAATGATCATTTTGCAGAATGACTTGATCCATGCGTGGGGCCTAGATATGAAGCTTGGTTATTGTGCTCAGGTAATATTCGATTATCTGCTATTGTTATTTCTACACATTAATCCCTACATTTGACATCTAAAATTACTTTTGATAGGGTGATAGGAGCAAAAAAGTAGGTGTTGTTGACAGTGAATACGTCGGACATTTGGGACTACCAACTCTTGGTGGTCGTAACGAAAGCAAGGTGAGTTAACTAAGGTGTCTGTATCACCACCCATGGTAGGATTTCTCATGTCTGGAACCAATTTCGTTTCACTGGGTTAATCACTTGAGTTCTTGTATTTGACTTTCACAGGTTTCTTCTGGGTCATTCACCTATAAAGATAGACTTGGAGTAAGTATCAATATCATCAATTAGCTATAATATAATTAAGATATCTAGCTCGCACTTTAGCTGTTCAATAGCCATGTGGATTTTTATAGAAAAAGCTCTAAGGCTGCATCAGTGATGTAGTTGGAGGGATTTTGGATAAATTCTAATTTTCTTTAAGACGTTGTCAGGTTTTGTTCCAAGTATCGGCTTTTAAAGACCCCAGAGCTATAAACTTTCTATTTTATTTGATATTTTCCCATATTGATATCTGAATTGTGGGTTGCTTTTAACTCTTATCAGTTTTAACAGGAAAAAATAAAATACAAATTGGTGTAAACTTAAACAGTCAGATACTAATGGGTTAATTGGATCACCAGTCACTGTATTTATCTCATAATTGGATGTTCATACCTATGTTTTAATTACTCGGATGGATAGTCGTGTAATTAAATATTAATCAGATCGTTAATCATTTCTAAGCTATGTTGCATGCATACAGGTACAGGACACGACACATTTGTAAAAAGTAGGGTACGTACTATATAAATATTAATATACCCAATATTATCTATTGGAATTAATAATTTATATGAAATCAGGGATGGAAATTAAAAGTCTTATAATATTTTTATGTTCCTTTTATTATTTGGATTATAAATTGGAAATCGCTAGTTTTTGAACTAGGCATCCAAAAGGCCTTTCAAAATCATAATTTAGAACTTGGCCTATGTCCGACAAGTTTCAAGCAGTGGATGTGAAGTGTAGGATATATGTCCATAAAAAGTATGACAAGTATTTTAAGTTACTTGTATTTTATATATAGTTGAGCATATGCCTGAATAAATGTATGCATATATGGAAAAAGTGTCCAAGGAGTTTGTATATGGGTACGAGCACATGTCGGGAATGGATACGCCTTTAGATTAGAAGTACCTAGGTAACAAAGTTTCCATTATTTATTGCGAATTAACATAAGGGATTTTCATTGGCATGACATAAAAGAGTCTTGTTCATTTGACAGAACGGTTTTATTCATATTTGTAATATCTTCAACACTTGTGGAAATGAAATTTGTGATATATCGATCAACTTGTATTAGGTAATTATATTGCATTTAACTTCTTTTTTCTTGAAAATATCTACTCGTGATATATTGAGTAAATTGTTTAAAATTTAATGAAGTAATACAATTTAAATTTTCAAAAAGCGCTGTAAGTGACCAATAATCCAGCTACTATTTAATTACATGACTGGACGTCTAAGCAATTAAAACATAGTTATGAACGTCTAGTTATGAGTTGAATACACTAACCATTGATCCGATTAACCCCTTATGCAAGTACGTGACTTATCCTTATATAGAACACACACTACGTGAGTCTAGCTTTCTTTTTATAGCTTTCAACCTATAAAAATAAAAAGATAAGATGCGTCTTTATCTTTTTATAGCTACACTCACGCAGTCGTGTGTTCTTTTTATAGGCTGAAAGCTAGACTCATGTAGCAGTATCTTTTTCTTTATAAATCCTAAGTTGTGGTGAAGGGGCCATTTCATCACGCCATGACTCTGAAATTATGGTGAAGACTGAGGGTTCTAGTTATACTCTTAACACAACTATTCTTATATTTTATTTTAATTCTTGGCAAATCTAGATTCATATGTCTTGATGTTTAAATAAACTTCTGATTTATTATTCTTTTTCTTGATAACTATCAAAATCCAAAAAATGATATTATTTATCATAGACTTTGCACACCCTCTATTGACATGTCATGTATATATATCATATCATACTTTCTTTCAAACTATGAGTTCGGGAAAATTTTTCTATGGTCAATATTACCCTTAATTATCATATCTTCTTTGAATTGATAACTAAATAATTTATTCTATTTATAATGAGAATTAACATGTTATTGGATAAAAGAGATATGTTTCATATAATTCAAATCCTTTACTTATTTCAATTTGTAGAGAAATCTAAAAAACATATGCTAGCCAACACTTAAAGACTTTGTAAAAAATATTCTCTAAAGTTTTTAAATTGCAAAAATACCCCTACAAATTAAAAAAATATTAAACCATATTAAAAATTATAAATTTGACTTATTTCAATTCAATGAGAAATATGAAAAACATATGCTAGCTAGAAACCGAAAGTTTTTTTTATTTCGAAGAAAATATCTTATAAGTTTTGAAGTTATAAAAACACCCCTAAAAATTTAAAATTTATTAAAAAACACCTTGAAATTTTCAAACCTATAAACACACTAAAAACCTACTAATAACACAAACAACTCCCAAAATTTATAGAATTTGCAATACACACTCTGAACATTTTTACAAATCATACTCCCTTTAAGAGTACGAGTTGGGGAAAATATTTCTATGGTCAATATTACCCTTTTTTTAATATTATATTGTTATCCTAATCTATTCTAATTTTTCTATATTCTTTGAATTTATAATTAAATGATTTATCCTATCCATAATGAGACTTAATATGTTATTGGATAAAGGTGATATGTTTGATATAATTCAAATCTTTTACTTATTTCAATTTACAGAGAAATCTAAAATATATATGCTAGCCAGCGCCTAAAAGTTTTTTTAATCTTGTAAAAAATACCCTCAAGATAAAACTCTAAAAATTTATAAAACTCTAAACTTTTTACAAATTACAAGATAAAACCCTCAAGACTGTAAAATTTATAAAAATTTTGATAATTTTTTAACCTAACAGTACATTAAAAATATACGAGTTACAAATATCCCCTGGATAATTTATAATTTATAAAAACACCCTTAAAGTTTCAAAAATTACGAAAAACACTCAAAATTCAAATTTTACAAAAAACACTCTGAGAATTTCAAACTCATTAGTAAATTAAAAATATAGGAATTATAAATAGTCTATAAATAATTTACAATCTATAGAAAAAGGCCTATAAGTTTAAAAAATTACAAAATATACCTAATATTCATAATTTATAAAAAAACATCATGAGAATTTCTAACTTATAGACACTAAAATGAATATACAATTACTAGAAACCTCTAGAAAATAAAAAATTTATAAAAAAATATCATACTCCCTTTAAAAGTATAGGTTTAGGAAAAACTTTTCATGGTCAATATTACCCATAACTTTTTTAAAAAGAACATAACTAATTATAAATTTATTAGATTTGAAATTTACAAAAAAACAAACTTAAAGTTTAGTACATTGCAAATTACCCCTCCAAAGTTTGAAATTTTTCAATGATTTTTTGTAGTTTCTTGGATTTTAATGTAAATTGCAAATTACCCCTCCAAAGTTTGAAATTTTTCAATGATTTTTTGTAGTTTCTTGGATTTTAATGTAATTTTTAATAGTTTTGTGTATTTTTTGAAATTTTTCAATGATTTTTTGTAGTTTCTTGGATTTTAATGTAATTTTTAATAGTTTTGTGTATTTTTCTATTATAAAAGTTTAGGGTGTTTGTTTTTATAATTTTAAAAACTTTTGATGGTATTTATTCTGTAGTTTTCTAAATTTTCATTATGTTTTTAGTGTAATGCATAAATACATTAATTAATGATGATATTAAAGAGTAAATCGTTCTTAAGATGTATTATGCTATAGTTAAGTGTGCACATTACTATTCCTAGGCAGTATAATTTATACATGCAATTTTTTTTAAAACAATCTATATGGTGGTTAAAAGGTTTTTGACTTTAATGTACTATTTTTTATAAATTATATTTAATGTGAACCCACCATATAATTTTAACTATGGTCATTATAATTTTAATATGTTTAATCGATTGACTATATAAGTATATAGACCATAAATTACTTTAATTTCTCGCATGAACTAATATTTAGCACTTAATAATTTAATTTATTACTTTTAAATTACATTTATTTATTTAGCTATAGGATAATACAATTTCAATTCCTAGACCTTGTAAAAAATACCCTCTAAGTTTTTAAATTGTAAAAACACCCCTACAAATTTAGAATTTTATTAAAACATATTAAAAATTATAAATTTTAGTTATTTCAATTTAGTGAGAAATCTAAAAAATATATGCTAGCTAAAAAATAAAAGTCTTTGACATTGGAGAAAGTATCTTGTAAATTTTAAAAAATGCAAAAACACACCTAAAATTCAAAATTTGTAAAAAATACATTGAAAATTTTAAATATATAAACACACTAAAAACCTAAAAATAACACAAACTACTCCCAAAAATTTATAAAATTTCCAATAAAACTCTAAACTTTTTACAAATTGCAAGATAAAACCCTTGACATTGTAAAATTTATAAAAATCCTGATAATTTCCAAGCTAACAATACATTAGAAATATAGGAGGTATAAATATCCCCTACATAATTTATAATATTTACAAAACACCCTTAAAGTTTCAAAAATTACAAATAAACACTAAAAATTTAAATTTTACAAAAAACATTGAGAATTTTAAACTCATTAGTAAATTAAAATATAAGAAATATAAATAGTCTATAAATAATTTACAATCTATAGGAAATGCCTATAAGTTTAAAAAATTACAAAAACCCCTAATATTCATAATTTATAAAAAAACATCATGAGAATTTCTAACCTATAGATACTAAAATGAATATACAAAATCACTAGCAACCCCTAGAAAATACAAAATTTACAAAAAATATCATACTCTCTTTAAAAGTATAGGTTTAGGAAAAAAATTTCATGGTCAATATTACCCATAACTTTTTTTAAAAGAACATAACTAATTAAAAATCTATTATATTTAAAATTTACAAAAAAAAATTTTAAGTTTAGTACATCGTAAATTAGCCCTCCAAAGTTTAAATTTTTTCAATGATTTTTTGTAGTTCCTTGAATTTAATGTAATTTTTAATAGTTCTGTATATTTATTAGTTATAAAATTTTAGGGTGTTTGTTTTTACAATTTTAAAAACTTTTGAGGGTATTTCTTTTGTAGTTTTCTAAATTTTCATTGTGTTTTTAGTGTAATGCATAGATACATCAATTAATGATGATATTGAAGAGTTAGTCATTCTTAAGATATATTAGGCTATGATTAAGTGTGCACATCACTATTCCTAGACAGTATAGTTTATATATTTAAAAAATTTCAAGTTATCTATATAGTGGTTAAAAGGTTTTTGACTTTAATGTACTATTTTTATAAATTATATTTAATGTGAACCCAACATATAATTTTAACTGTGGTCATTATAATTTTAATATGTTTAATCGATTGACTATATAGGTATGAGTGAAATCACAACTAAAAGTTAATGTGAATATGAGTCAAACAACAACTAAAAGTTTAATAACCATATTACAAGTAAATTCATATGCAAAATTTCTTTGCGAATTGAATGATGACCGATCTTTTAAAGACTTCAAAATACTAATAAACAAAGATATTGTACTAAATCAATGTGTTTATAACTCACAAATACTAGAACACATAGCGATAGTCTGGATTGAAGAAAACAATGATAATATTTCATTTTAAAGAGAGATTATTGGGTTGATAATCAATCCCGCAAAAAACTTTATCTTTTTTATTTTTAATCTATTTTTATCAATTTTAATAACCATGATATTCAACCACGTGCATTGCACATGTAATCTAACTAGTTGTAAAATAAAACCCTCAAAAATTCTAAAATTTATAAAAATCCTGATAATTTCTAACCTAACAGTATATTGAAAATATAGAAATTATAAATATCCCCTACATAATTTATAATTTATAGAAAACACCCTTAAAGTTCCAAAATTACAACAAACCTTTAAAATTCAAAATTAAAAAAAAACACCCTGGGAATTTCAAATTTATTAGTAAATTAAAAGTATATGAATCATAAATAGTCTATAAACAATTTAAAATATATAGAAAAGTCTTATAAGTTTAAAAAAGTATAAAAATCCCCTCAAATTCATAATTTAAAAAAAAAACACCATAAGAATTTCTAGCTTATAAATATTTAAATTAATATGCAAAATTATTAACAACCTCTAGAAAATTAAAATTTTGCAAAAAATATCATACACCTTTTAAAAGTATATGTTTAGGAAAAACTTTTCATGATAAATATTACCCATAGCTTTTTAAAAAAGAACATAACTAATTAAAAATCTATTAAATTTAAAATTTATAAAAAAAACCACCCTTAAAGTTTAGTACATTGCAAATTACCCCTCCAAAGTTTAAAAATTTTCAATGATTTTTTGCAATTACTTGATTTCAATGTAATGTTTAATAGTTTTGTGTATTTGTAACTTACAAAATTTTAGGATGTTTTTTACAATTTTTAAAACTTTTGAGGGTGTTTATTTTGTAGTTTTCTAAATTTTTATTGTGCTTTCAGTATAATGCACATATACGTCAATTAATGATGATATTGAAGAGTAAGTCGTTCTTAAGATTATTAGACCATAGTTAAGTGTGCACATCATTATTCCTAGGTAGTATAGTTTATATATGCAAATATTTTGTGACAATCTATATAGTGGTTAAAAAGATTTAATGTGAACCCATCATGTAATTTTGACTATGGTCATCATAAATTTAATACGTTTGATTGATTGATTATATACGCATATAGACCATAGATTACTATACTTTCTCACATGAGCTAATATTTTGTGCTTAATAATTTAAATTATTACTTTTAAATTTAATATAAAGAGAAGCTCTAATAACATTTATTTATTTACCTACAACATAATACAATCTCAATTTCTATTTTTTGCTGGAGATTTACTTCATAGTTACGCGTATCAAATTAGTAACTAAAATATTATTTATTTATGCTTAAATTAGGATGATTGTAGTTAGTCACTCACTATGAAATTTTTATGAAGATATATACCTTATTTTCTATAGTTATATGCACTGCTCATGTATATTTTATAAATTAGTTCTTAATTTGACATATTAAATTACTTTTCCTTTGTAGAAATTTCTTGCTTTACTTTTAAACCGTGTAATCACCATATCATCATTCTAGCGTAGAAAGGACCTCATTTTAAATAGTTTCAAGTTAATGTTTGAGTTGAACTAAAGTATATACTATTGCTACTATGTGTATATATATATTTTTAAAAATCATTGTCAACACTTTTTAAATAGAAGAAAAAATTTTAACATCTGATATCGTAAAAACTAAATATACCCAATTGAGTGATTAGCAAAAGAGAACTTACATTAGAAACGTGCGAATAATAAGATAAAGAGGAAAGGTAATGGTATTGCCAACAATACTACAAGTAGCAAACTATAATGTAAAGTTAATCTATTTTGTGGAGCTGAACTACTGGCTATAAGCATCAATATTTCCATATATATACTTTATAGATTATTAAAAAGGTTCATATAATCTTATATAATAAAATTAATTTAATACTGAATAGTAATATTGTTATGATAATATCATTATTAGAAAAAAATTCTTCATGAACCAATATGTTCTTTACGATATATAAGTCATGCACTCCAAATTCTTGAGTCTTTTATAGAGCCACAAAATTTAAATACAAGCCTCTAACATGTTATTCTCACAACAGCAAAATCCACTTAGCAAATGTGGATATTTCAAATGAGTTATGTGTCTTATATACAATACAATTACCCTAGGCAAGTGAGTTATAATAACATTTTCATTCACATCATTTGGAGTAAGATTTGATAGAGACCTTGTATCAAAGAATTTTTTTAATATGCACATGGTGAAATATATTGTAATATCCCTGCTCTAATTTCGCAAGAAAATAATTCTTCATACTTTCAGTTTTACTTCTATGATATAGAGAATGAGCTATAAAATTGAATGAGAACATTAGATAATATAAATATGAGTATAACAACAATTAAAAGTTAACGTGAATATGTGTCAAACCACAACTAAAAGTTTATAATGGACATATTGCAAGTAAATTCATATGCAAAATTCATTTACGAATTGAATGATCACTCATCTTTTAAAGACTTCAAGATACTAACAAATAGAGATATTATACTAGATAAATGTGTTTATAACTCACAAATGGTAGATCACGTGGTCACGGTCTGGGTTGAAGGAAACAATGACAATATTTTATTTGAGAGAGAGATCATAGAGTTGATGATCAATCCCACAAAACACTTTATTCTTTTTTTTTTTTTTACTCTATTTTTATCAATTTAAATAATCATGATATTCAACCACGTACATTACACGTACATCTCAACTAGTGTGTATATATATATATATATATATATATTGCTCTTGGTCGATGTAGGTGAGACGACGGTCTTATGCTGAACAAGAGATCTTCAGACGAAGATGGAATAGAGCAGTTGCAGCGGACAAATGCTGGATAGATCCTTATCCCGAACCTGCAAAGAAATCAGGCAAATAGTAAATAAACAGCGATAACATACTCCATACTACAGTGCTATATAAGAATCAAGAGAATACTCGATACAAGCTATATAGGAATAAAATGCTAAAACTTGCGTCTTTTTTTTTTCCGTCTTTTGATAAAGTTCACATTTTAACTTATACAAGGCCAGCTTGTTGTATAGATGCTTGAAATGTGTGTATAATATATATTAACTGTAATTATGGTTAACATTCTTTTTCAATAATAGGAATTTGTACATCATAACTTGTTTAAATAAAACCATTAGATACATTTGATCATTCATGCAGGTATTATTCTTCAGTATTTCGAACGTTCTATGAATAGAAGTTGCATGGAGATATGACTTTGATAGGAAAACATTTTTCATTTGAAAGGTATTCTCCACGTTTAAGTTAAAAATTTAGTTTTCTTTTTGTAATTTAGGATAATGTCTTGATACAGTACTTTTTCCTTGCAATCTACTAAATCACTATATACACACACACACGAAATTAAAAGCAAAACCTCAATGTTACCATACAGGCTACAACAAACATTAGTTACTACAGTGTAATTTAGAATATCTAAATACTTGTTCATCCTATAGTAGAATTTTCAACCCTAGCCATACTGTTCATGCTGCAATGATTTCTCCCCACAAACACTGTTTATGTACAGTGTAATTTTTGAATCTTAAACATGTCCCATATGTCATAGTGATTTTTAGCCCTTTATCCACTGTTTAAGCTGAAGTTGAAGTAACATTTTTTTAATTTTGAAAACAGTTCATATCTTCTTTTTTATTTTTTTTTTGTTCTTGCAAATGATGAACTTAATCTTTACCAGATCTTTCATAAATATAAATCTTATTTACCTTTATTATAGAAAATTGATAAAACTTATTAATTGGTGTATTATTTTGTTAACTGATTCGAAAATCCACTCTGTAATAATAGTAAAAAAATATTCGCTGAAGTTTCCATAAATAGTTATATATAAAAACTATATTATCAATTTAGTGATAGATGTACCTCGATAAATAATACCCGCAGCAACGCACATGTTTATAGTATAAGGGAATGGTAGGATTTAGAATCACATAATCTTTGTGAATATTTCCTTGTTCAATATTATAGCTTACATTTGTGCATGTATCGAGTAGTGTTGAGCTAGATTTAACATGAACATATGCACTTGATCTCAGAGGAGAGATTAGATTTTGAGATATTGACTTGAATCCTGTTGATTATTAATGGAATCATGACATGGTTCTACTCCGATGATATAAATAATCACATTGATTACTAGATCTCCTTAAATTGTTGTGTTTCTATGCTTGTTCCCTATTTTTCTATGTTCTTTCTAAGCGTCGAACAACGGTATTAAGGTATATTCCATTGCTGTTGTTAACAGCTTTTGTGTTACATTTTTGCCAAATAAATGACCCTAAAGTAGTCCTACTAATAATCAGTGGCGAAGCCAAGTGAGGCTTGTCCTGGGCTACTACCCAGAGCAAGAAATTGTGTTTTTACAAGGTAGGAGTGGTCTCGTAAGCAGGTCCCAAGGTGATGGCGGTGGTGGTCCTGGACAAGGTAGCGGTCGAGAACGAGACTTAGGGCAAAGAAATGAGAGAGCGAGAGAGTCTAGGGAAGGAGAAAGGGAGAGATGGTCAACTGAAAGAAAATTGAACTTATAGTTTGAAACCACATTTATTTTTCGCCCTGGCAAAATATAATCCCAGCTACGCCACTGCTAATAATGAAGATGACATGAGAGCATAATTTGGCAATTTAGAACTCTTATAATCCAGTGGAATAGAATACTAATAAAGAAAACTGTATATATCACTTATCTAAAAAATCTCAGCCGTATCCTTTGTCAGTTTTTGACAAAAATTTGGAGTCTAATGACATAGCTCAGTTTTTAGTCAAACCTTATCTCCTTTCACCCATCAATATGGGAATCTCCACATTCGGCAAGTATCAATCAGCTAGAACTGTAACAACTTTCTCTGTAGGCTGCCATTTTCTTTAAGTTACCGGCTTGAAATTAATCCTTATTTTTAAGATTATTGTTGTCTTGTCCATCTTTCCTTTCATATGACATAAAGGTTTGCTCACAATTTTCCTTATGAAAAGAAAAAGACGTGTCTCTTGTCTAATTAATATATAGGACCCTTGACTTTGGGGAAAATCCAAAACATTATTGTGCTCTTACAGACTCACACCAGCTAAAACGTATATCTTTATGCCTACGCGCGCGCAATCTCTTAGACAACAATTCTTGATGTCCCCAAAAATCATGGTAAATATTAGCATGAATCTTTCTTTTTTTTGTCATCCTTTATTTACAGTTATTCTTAAGGAAATGCTAAATGAACTTTTTATTGTGACTTGTAATTAAACTCAAGAGTAATACGTGTTCAGCCTGACATTCATTAGATATAGGATTTTAGTGCATATGATACCGTTCATGTAGAAAGGGGAACAACGGCAACAAAGTTCAGGCAAATTGACGAATGGACATTTTGGAGGTCGTATGGTCGACCGCGATGACTTCGACGGTTGATCGGAAACATGCACGAGTACAGGGTAGATTCTAGCTTTTTGTTCGGTCGACCGCGAAGACTTCGGCGGTCGCCCGCCAAACCCTGTAATGGATTTTTGGTTTCTGTCGTTTTGTCCGGTCGACGGCGATAGTTTCGGAGGTCGATCGCCAGTCGGGTTTGGGCCTGATTCGGGTTTCCTGTTCTGTTTGAGTCTGTGTTTTGATATATTTTGAAACACACGATTTTAGGGTTTTGGGATTGATCAAAATTTGTTCTGAATTGAGAGGGATAAGGGGTGATTTTGAGCTTTCTTGTGAGAGCAAATTGGTGAGAGCTGAGAGCTTTGTTTCAGAGATTAATTTGAGGGTTTTGAGTGATTTGTAATCTTTATTTTGTGTTCTCTCTCTAATAGTGAAAACCCCTCTCCTTCTTCCCCCGTGGACGTAGGCAACTTGCTGAACCACGTAAATCTCATGTTTGAGTTTGTGCTGTTATTTTTTATTTGATTATGTGTGTGCCTTCTCTCTCAGCAACTTTGTGGATTCCGCTGTGCCGCCGCACAAGTGGTATCAGAGCTTCGGGCTACACTTGGGGTTTAGTGGAGGAGTAGATTGCTTTGAAAGCTCTTCTAGGGTTTCGATTGGAGATAAATGTGGGATCTTTTTTGTAAATAATCTATCTTTTATCAGTTTGGATCTATTCTTCAGTTTGTTCCGCATTAGTTTGTTGGTGCTTTGAGGAAGATGGTTGGGAAAGAAGATGCATCGGGTGTTGAGTGTGGTACTTCTAGTGTGAAGACCATTCAAAGTTTAAATATCCACTCTATGAAGATAGATGTGGAGAAGTTTAATGGCAAAAACAACTTTGGTTTATGGAGATGTGAGGTTTTGGATGAGCTGAACACACAAAATTTAAAGGATACTTTGGAATTGGATCGCAAGCCAGATGATATTGAAGAAAAGATTTGGAAGAAGATGAATCAGACGGCGTGTGACGTGATTAGATCTTGTTTAACGCAGGATCTAAAATATGATGTGATCAATGAGACTTCTGCAAAGAAGATTTGGGAGTGCAAAAAAGATTTGGGAGATTCTTTAAAGCAAGTATTTGACAAAGAGTGTTAAAAATCACTTACATTTGAAGACGAGACTTTACCGTTTCCAGTTGAGGAAGGAAATCTCAATTAGTGATTATATGAATAACTACATGAAGCTTCTTGCGGATTTGACGAATGTGGATGTTATGATCGAGGATGAGGACAAGACATTATTGTTGTTGAGTTCCTTACCAGATGAGGAATATGAGACCTTTGTTCTTATCCTAATCAATGGGAAGACGTCCCTTTCAAATAGTGAAGTTACCGTTGCTCTTGTGAATTATCAGCTAAAGAAGAAGGACAATGAGTCTTCAAATGATACAATAGCAGAGAAATTGACCGTAAGAGTGAAAAGTCCAAACTGAAATAGGAGGTCGCAGTCTAGAGGAGCACATCCTTCAGTTGGTAGAAATCAATATACTTTTTGCAAAGAAGATGGACATTGGAAGTCTGAATGCCCAAAGTTGAAGGATAGAGCCGGGAAAAATAAGGGAAAATCCATACAAGCTTCAGAGATGAATGTTTCCAAAGCTACTGGTGACAATTCAGATTCAGATTCTTCGCGCTACTTATGCCCAGCACTACCGCCAGTTTGTTATGCTGACTCTATGGTGTGGATGTTGAATTCAGGTGCTACTAACCATATTTGCCCTAAGAAGGATTGGTTCTCTAGTTTTAAGGAGTTGGAAAGAGGGGAAATCGTGCACATGAGTAATGATCATGTATGCTCTATTGGTGGTATTGGAATAGTTCAGATTAGGATGTAAGACGAGTGACTAGGGATCTGAAGGAAGTGAGATTCGTTCCGCAGTTGATGAAGAATATCATTTCACTTGGAACTTTGGAGGCAGCAGACTATAGGGTGATCTTAGATAATGCAATTCTGAAGGTCATAAAGGGTCCATGATTGTGATGAAGGGTGTCAGGAAGAATAACTTGTACTACTTGACTGGAAGTACAGTGACAGGTGGAGCATTGGCGACTTCTATTGATTTGGCTAGACTGTGACATTTGAGGCCGGGCCATTCCAATATTGATTTGGAGAAAGGTGGATTGACCTGCAGTTTGAAGTCCAGTAAACATTTTGATGTGAGCAAGAAGATTGAGGTGAAGTTTGACACCTCCATTCATTGAGCTAAGGTCCTTCTAGATGGAGTTCACGTGGGCGTTTGAGGACCTTCCAAGGAGGCATCATTGGGAGGTAATAGATATTTGGTTTCCTTTGTTGATGACTGTTTTAGGTATGTTTGGGTTGCAACCAAGTCCCGTTTGAGTAAAGTCCTAGTAGTTTTCAACTGGTGGAAGAAGTGTACAAAGATTAAGACATACAGAAAAGGCATAGTACTCCATTCTAATTCTGGTAGGAAGTACAAGAAGGAACCATTTCTGCATTTGTGTCGTGCTCAGGGCATTTTGAGACACTTCGATGGAAGGAAAATCTTGGGGCAACTAGATGAGGTGGTAAATTTGAAGAACCGTGTCTTGCTGGAGGAGGAACGATGTTTGTTGTCAAGCAGAAGTTTGTAGAAGAGGTTCTGGGCTGTGGCTTTGACATATTCGAGCCATCTTATTTACAGGTTGCCGTCTGCTGTAATTGGAGATAAAACTCCATTGGATAATTGGTTTGATAGTGTCACTTTTGATGAGGCTTCGATGATGGAGCCTATTGACTCTCAGCAGGTGGAGAGTATTGGACAGATCATAGATGTATTGCAGCAGGTGGAGAGTGATGCTACTTCACGTTAGGTGGAGATTACTCTACATTCTCCAGATTATTCTGTATCATTTGGGATTCCAGCTGAGGTGACACAAATTGGGGATCATGTCGGTGTGGATACAGATGATGAGTTTGAAGATCAGGATTCGAGCGCAGCAGGTGGACACAGTTCAGATTTGGCTATGGTCGTTGGCTCACCTCAGGTGGAGGTGTTTGGTAATTATGTCTCTTCTATATATAGGGTTAAGGGGTTAAGCTCGAAGACAAATTTGGTGTGGAGAGATGCAAGTTTGGAAGAGAGTTTGTCTTTTCACTTTGAGGCCAACAGGGGTGTGATCTGCTACAGATTGGTTAGTGCTGATGATCAAAAGGTTGGTGAAGGATTGGAAATCCTTCTAGTTGATTGAGAGCATTTGGAGGCCATTTGGGTGAACTACGTGAGACTTGATTCCTTGGGCAAGAGGATACGTAGGCAATCATTTTGATGCATCCAGTTTGATGAGTTAATACTGACATTTTGGAGTTTGTTCGCATTCTCATTTGGGTTCTTGACTTGTTGTGAATTGAGTCTGTTGTCGTGGATTGTTCCACTTCGTACTGGACGCAACAAGTAAGACATTTGATTTGGTTGGTGTCAGATCAGTTTTGGGAAAACTTCACCGAGGTGAAGAATTGTAGAAACGGGAACAACGACAACGAAGTTCACGCAAATTGACGAAGGGAACATTTTGGAGGCCGTATGGTCGATCGCGATGACTTCGGCTGTCGACTGGAAACGTGCACGAGTATAGGGTAGGTTCTGGATTTTTGTCCGGTCGACCGCGAAGACTTCGGCGGTCGACCCCGCCAAACCCTGTAATGGATTTTTGGTTTCTGTCGTTCTGTCCGGTCAACCGTGATGGTTTTGGCGGTCGACGACTAGTCAGGTTTGGGTCTGATTTGGGTTTCCTGTTTTGTTTGGGTCTGTGTTTTAATATATTTTAAAACACACGATTTTAGGGATTTGGGATTGATCAGAATTTGTTCTGAATTGAGAGGGATAAGGGGTGATTTTGAGCTTTCTTGTGAGAGCAAATTGGTGAGAGTTGAGAGCTTTGTTTGAGAGATTAATTTGAGGGTTTGTGAGTGATTTGTAATCTCTATTTTATGTTCTCTCTCTCTAATAGTGAAAATCCTTCACCTTCTTACCCCGTGGACGTAGGCAACTTGCCGAACCACGTAAATCTACTGTTTGACAACAACAAATATGGATATGCTATGACAACAACAACAAAGGAGTATCAATAGTTTTTTTCTTAACAAATGCCTCCTAATGCTCATATCATATTATTATCTGCCATTGCTAGTTTAAGGAAATATAAAAATACTAATATGGATACATATTCAAAGCAATTTATCTGGCTACTTAGGAAGTTGTACAATATTTGTTTTCCAAATCAAAGTTTCTACTACCTGATCTTTGTCAAGACAAATCATCAATTTCTCTTAAAATTAGAGGACAAATTGGTCCCACAAACAACCGTCCAGAACTCCCGTGTCCTTCCCTCATTAATGGCTTTTTGGCACGTTTTGAGCTAACCCTCAAAGCGGGTCGACGTAACATGGGAAGCATGTCTAATAAATCCAATCAAGAATAGAGCATAAAATATTTGTGGTTGGACTGGTTTTCTTTTTATTATTTATAATTATAATATTTACCTTTTGATTTTGATGTTCAGTCTCTAGATTCATTGCTTACGTGATTTCTTTTTCAAAGAGAAGTCGTTTTGTTCACTACAACTTTTTTATTTTTTACTTATTTATTTTTCACACGATGGGAGTGACGCATGCATGAGAAGCAATAAATAGTAAGCCTTATAATGTGGTCCGTGAATTTGTGAAAAATTCAAAGAAAGCTCCACGAAAGACTTAACACAAGATCTCCAGAATGCAGTTCTTTTTAGCTAGATCACTTTTCATACTGGTATCGATAGAACGAAAAGCAAAAGTAATAAAAAGAAGATATATAGAGAGAAAATCTAGCCTCACTGACACTGTGATTTGTTAATCTCCAAGGACTAGCAGCCTACTGTAATTGTCAGAAATTACAAACCCAATAAGATGTAGTAGAGTATGGTGACTGGCAATGACACTATCATCCCAAAGATAACCCTGCGAATTTTTGTAATTAAAGAAAAGAAAAGAAAAGCTCATTTAGCCTTCTCCATTTGAGTATAAAAGCAAAATGAAAAACATTCTTTCAGAATTCCTCTACCTGAGATTCAAATCAAATCCAATGTATAACGAAACTTACGCTGTGCTCAGAACCGCAGGGTGCAAATTATATTCCCTCGCGAACACGAAAGGCACAATTCCTTGCGGCAAAGCAGCCTGATCAAGAACAGTTGCGATTCATTTGATGTTCATATATGGCTGTACATTTTATGAGGAGCATATATATGCGCATATAGGAAATGAACCAGCTAGCGTCTTACCTGAACTATGGAGACTTTGAGTGTTTTGCCTCTAATGCCAACTGCTATAGAAGCTAACGCCATTACAGCAGGACCAGCAATAAACCTTATCAGCATTCCAATTGTTGCCTGTTTCTTTCCACAGGCTATTATCCTTGGCTGCAAAGCCATAAACAATCCTGAAAAGACAATTTTATTTCACATCCTCATTTCAATTGTGATCCACAAAATCCTTAATCTTTGGTACAAATCTCACCTAAACTAAACATAGCCATTCCCAATCCAGCATTTGATAACATTGTCACTGAATTCTCCAGTATAGCAGGCTTCTGTATTCCCCATCTGCATTGATTTTGATCAGAAGAAAAATGGTGAACAGATTGCAAGTCAATTAGAGAAAAGAAAGAGATGGTACCTGCCAGAAACTAGAGCCCAGCTTAAACCCAAGAGACTTGCATATGAATTTGGATTCTTAACAAGCTTAGACCAAACCACCTTCATGATCAATTTAAGTTCAACCTTGGGTTCTTTCTGCTTCTCCTTTGCGTTCTCTTTATCTTCTTCTCTGCTACAAACTTTCATTGATTTCTCACAGACACCTGATAAAGAGCTATAAAGATTTACAAAGGAAAAACACTAAAATAAATAAATATGACGTCTTAGTACAATGGAAACTTGCCTTCAGAGTTGCAACACCCACATCTCCAAACAAACATATGAAGCTCCTTTCCACATTCCTCCTCTGACTCCTTATCAATATTCACCACCTCTCCCGATTCCGGTGCAACCCTGCTTCCTATCTGAACCCTCTGCTGCTCAAGCTCAACGGATGGTCTCGCTACAATAACATGAACAACTTCATCCTCCACACAACTCTCTTCACTAACCCTCTTCATTATCATACTCCTCGCTACTCTATACTCAAACAAAAACAGAAGCAGAGTGTACCATATTATACTCTGAAGCACTACTACTTGAATCATGAGACTCTCTTGCTCATTCCCATACATAGATTTTAGAAGTGGGATACCCATCACGAGAGTATTAGGAAGAGTTGCTAATGAGAAGAGAGTTATAGACCAATCTAAACTTCCTTTTGAAGAGAATTTAGCAAAGGAGAAGAGCAGTAAGAGGACGAGAGCTTTAGAGAGAGAGTCGGCGCCGATGAAGAGGAAGTTCATCTTGAAAGGGTTGATGCGCGAAATGAATTCGAACGAGAGGAGGGGGATCGCGAAGGCTGCGACAAAGCGATTGATGCCAGAGCATTGATCAGGAGTGAAGATCTTCCACCATTTTACAGAGGCATAGGCTAAGAACATGGTTACATATAAAGGAACAACTGCAGCTAACACATCGTAGAGATCTTTGAGAGAGATCATCTTGGAGAGTTTTGAATAATGAACATATGCAGGGTTCTGTCAACAAGAGATTTAATTGAAGAGAATGAGAGTACTAAGAGGTATATCAAGTTACAGGAGTAAGAGAGGGCTACCTAAATATCAATATGAAAGCATTGACAAATTAGAGTTTTTTTTTTCTAGGCCCAATTGTTTACCATAATTTATCTATAAACCCAATAACTTTTTTTTGTATCATTGAACCCAAATAACTTTATGTATTTATCTCTAAACCCAACTTCTAAAATACAATACATATATATGTGGGGCCCCCTTAAACCCCCCTTAAATTCTAAAAAAAACCAATTATACCTTTCCTCATATCTCCTATGTTCTAATTTATGTGGGCCCATTAAAAAAATATTTAAAAACTAAATTAATTGAGAATTAATGAGAGAGAGAGAGAGAGAGAGAGAGAGAGAGAGAGAGAGAGAGAGTGTTCCTGCGCTTTCTTCCTTTCTCGGTTGAGCACGGGAGGGAAGGAAAATCACGGGAGAGAAAAATATCTAGGTTTCTCTCTCTCTCAATTTCTCAATTAATTCCAGTCTCTTATTCATTATTTCATTCATCCACTCTACTAAACCCATCAATTAATTCCCCTCTCTCTCTTTTCAACTTCATTAGTCCATAGGGTTGTGGTTGCTTGATTTTAATGGATATTCATCACTTTAATTTAAGGTATAATTTTACATTTTACTCAACTATTTAATTTATAGCATTAATTTCTCATTTTATTTATGAAAATGATTTCACATTATTATTCATGAATGCATAAAAATTAGTTAAATTGTTATCTTTGATGAAATTTTTGTTAAATTTGATTTTAGTCAACCACTCATCAATTATTTCATATTTCATGTTAATTATTTCACATTAATTTTTTATTTTATTCATGAAAATTATTTCTCAACCACTTATTTTATTGTTAATTAAATTTGATTTTGGTTGTCTATCTTTAATGAAATTTTCCATAAATTTATTTATTTTTTGTGACAAACATAGATGGATAAAGAATTATATCGCACATGCATTTGTTGGGAATGGGAAGTAGTTGGATTACCTTGCAAACACGTTGCTATAGCAATTCGACAAAATAATAACATTCTTTACTCCTATATTTCTCACTACTTTAGTGTGGAGATATACCGCAAATGCTACTCATTTCTTATATACCAAATTCCTAATGAGGACAAACCATATATAGGTGATGATAATACGGTGATTCGGCTGCCAACAACAACAATTCTTCGTGGAAGACTAAAAACAAAGCACATTCCTTTAGAATTGAATCCCCATAAAGAGTTGAAGTGTAGTAGGTGTCAACAGTACGGTCACAACCGTAGAACATGTAGACAACCGATTGCAGACTAAATTGGCTTTATAATCTAATTTTTAGAATGTGTAAGTGCCATACTTTTGTTGTAGATGTCATACCTTTGCCTAAGTGTCATACTTTTGGATCAATGTAAGATATGTGCTAGTTATGTATTTTGTATGATTGATTATGTTTGGTATAACTGTGCACTTGCATATTATCTCGCTATACTTACAAATTATCCCGCTATACTTACAGATTATCCTACTATACTTACAAATTATCTCGTTATACTTACAAATTATCATGCTATACTTTCAAATTATTCCGCTATACTTATAGATTATCCCGCTATACTTTCAGATTATCACGCTGTATTTACATATTATCACACTATACTTACATATTATTCCACTATACTTTCAGATTATCCCGCTATACTTTTAGATTATCCCGCTATACTTTCAGATTATCCCGATATACTTACAGATTGTCACGCTATACTTACATATTATCACGCTATATTCACATATTATCACGCTATACTTACATATTATCACGCTATATTCACACCGCTCTACTTTCATATTATCCTACTATACTTTCAGATTATCCCGCTATACTTACAAATTATTGTGTTATACTTACATATTATCGTGCTATATTCACATATTATCACGCTATACTTTCAAATTGTCCCGATATAATTTCAAATTATCCATTACACTTGCAGTTTATCATGCTATACTTACATATTATCACGCTATACTTTCAGATTATCATGCTATACTTATATGCTATCACGCTCGACTTCCTGCAACTCACACTATACTTACATATTTTTCACACTATACTTACATATTTGGTTATTGCACAAAAAACCAATACACTAATATTCATCACATACCACTTGAGAAACCTGAGTTGCATATAGAATATAAGGAGGCAAAACTTGTTATGATGGAAACTACTAGCAATCAATTACAAAACAACCAACTTGAGAAACCATTTTCTACATCAGATAAACACTATCTTTCATATTAGAAAGCCTAATTATACAAATACTAAGCAAACTAATAGCAATCAACTACAAAACAACCAATATGAAAAAGAGCTTATCCTCAAGTTCGACACTATGATTAACAAAATACAAGACGGTCCTTCCAATCCATACAAAATCTAATCTAAAATAACATTGGACACTAAAAAGTCCTTCCAATTTGCACTGAACCGAAATCTAATGTGAAGACTTAGTCTTTTGGATCTCTCAATTTCCTGAAGAAAATAACAAACAATCCAAAGCTTATGATTTATCAAGGCCCTGACAAACAGAAGCATTCAAGCGATAGTGCTTTTTGTAGACAAAAGAGAGAAAAATAGGTGCTAACACCAGTTAGGTGAACCAATGGACGGAGAACACCACGACGGTCACATGTCGGACCAATTGGGGGAAATTTAAGGGGAAATATTTGGGAGAAGAGAGGAGATGAGTACGGAGAAGAGAGGAGAGAGATTTTTTGGGGGGTTTTTAGTTAGGGTAGAGAGAGGAGAACGGAGAAGAGAAGAAAGAGATTTTAATTCAAGTGGGATATTTTGGGTATTTTTTAAGCACTGCATTTTGAACTTGTCTCTCTCTAAGTTTTAATATATTTGATTTAATTATTGTATGCTCAAAATTAGAAATCATATCTACTCCTCTACACTTAAAGAAGGATCTAAATTTTAATTTATTTAATATAGAAAAAATATCTATTCCTCTATACTTAAAGAAAGATCCAAGTTTTAATACGTTTGATTTGCTTTACTATTTATGATACAGTAAAATACTGATAGTAACTTTAAGTATGGAAGAGAAATTTTGATTTACTGTTTATACTAGAGTAAACTACCGTAGCATGAACAGTAACTTCGAGTGTAGTGGGCCAGATCGGTTAGTTGTTTATGCTACAGTATTTATTGTAGCATGAATAGTAACTATTTGAATTCTTCTTGAAGTATAGAGGAGTAGATGCTAGCCCCATAAAGTGAGGTCTAGTTGTGTTTAAAATGGTTTAAAAGCAAAAAATTATAGCGCATGTGTTGGGGTTGAACAACACCATCACACTAAGCACAACCAAATAATAATCTCCAAACCTCAACTTGCACAACGTGAGGATAAGTGAAAGAAATAGATCCAGTTTTGAAAACCAAGAAGAAATTCACAATCATGAGACAAGCAATTTTAACAAGGAAAAATCATTGTGGGGAAAAAAGTCGAGTTGTATGCGACCTCCAAAAAGAGATTGATCATGTTGAAAAGAATTACAACCCTAGTTCTCTTCTACCCTATGTAAATCACTTACAAAATAATAGCCCTAATCCTATCAAAGAAATTGAGAATAATTAAAAACGATGGAATAAAGTTACCAGTAAAGTACCGATGAAACCACCACGTCGAATAGTTGTAAATAACCTTCCTTCTCCAAAACTGCAAAAAGTATGCTCAGGTTTGATTGGTTGGTCAGACTGCGTAGTCACTATTAGTATAGTGGCCAGTGGCATCAACGGGTCTAATCATACGGTGTAACTGCCTGCTCGCATATAGTTCACAGTCGCATTCGAAATGTTGGGATCGTGTCTTTGATTCTTTGTATAATTTCATAAGAATTAGATAGGACTAGAGATCTATCATGATTAGGAGATTAGATCTCATCATGATTAGGAGTTTGAATCATATTCTAATTAGGAAGTTAGGCTAGAGATAGAGGTTTGGTTTCCATATATATATTCTTCTATTGTTAAAGGAAAAATCAAGCAGAGAATAGAGAGCCAATATTTTTGTAATCTAGGGTTAGCAGAGGGCATAGCCTAATTCAAGAATATTATGCGAGAGGCAAGGGTTTCATAGTCTTTGTTCATGCCAAAGATTTCATCATTGGGAGAGGGTTTCACAGTCTTTGTCCGTTCAAAAGATTGTAAGGAGAGGGCTTCGGAGAGAATATGAGAGTTGATTATGTATGTGAGGTTGAGAGATTGAGAGATGAGAGTTGAGTGGTTCCTCTTATAGTTATCCCTGATACATTGTGGATTTCTCGTATTATTTCCCCGTGGAGGTAGGTCGAAGTTGGTCGACCGAATCACGTAAATCTCGATATTTTTTCTTCTTAATTGTAGTTGTTTTCTATCTTGTTGATTGTGGGTTAGATTCTAAGTTGCGCAAATCATAGTAGACTGAGAGACTAAATTCCTCAACAAGTGGTATCAGAGCCATGATGATGGATCTGAGAGCGAGTTTGCAAGATAAACGTCGTACAAAAGTGAACATTGGCGGTGTTACAAGAATCAATATGAAGAAAAAAAGAAGGGGTTGGAGGCAGATTTTGACTATCTAGGAGTTAATCCCTAGGTTTTGGAGTGTTCTGAACGTGATGAGAGTGTCTAATTTTTCAGATTCTGCTCAGATTAGTCAGAAAGTGTAGAAAAGTTCTGACGATGATGGCAAGATAGATCTAATGGTAAATAGAACAAACAAATATGTGATGGATAAGACTGGTGTAGAGAATCAGACGTGATTGCAGCAGTAGAGTTGTCAGCATATAATTGTTCAAAGTCATCACAGGAACAAGAGTTGGTTGGTGTGTAGACTCGAGGAAGACAGTACCAGATTAGGTGGAGCTTGCAAGCGGGCATGACCGAGTAACACACATGGAGATGGAGATTATGATATTGGACTTGAAGATGATGAACGCTCATATTCGGTCCAAGCCAAGTGATGAAGGAAATAGAAGCATCCGGATCGTAGTGTGGAGT